ATCCCCAGAGGTTGCCATGGAGATGAGGCCATCATGCCAACCAAGAGGGGCAACCACCACTGACGTGGAAATCACACTGTGGCAAAAGTGGAACTGTCAAGAAGCCAGATATGGAGGAAATGAGAAAGCTGGCTAGTAAACAGGGAGGGAGAGGAAGGAAGTGACTTATTCTGAAACTCTGTCATTGACCAGATCTTGGGAACTGAGAGTCTGATTGTGTGCAACACTCAGGCATGTTCGCCTGTCTTTCGGATGAGCTCTCCATTTGTACTCAAGCTCCAGCTGACACCCTCTGTACAGGGTCTGTCATTGTCCCATTCAAGGCCAGCCCCAAGCAGTTCTGGTGGTGGCTCCCAGCTAGGCGATGGAGCCAGATCTCAGGCTGAGGAGTCTGAGTTAAAGTCACATTTGAGTGACTTTTCAGGAAGCCTCATGGCCTCTCTGAGATGCCATCGCCTGTTCATTAGGGAAACTCATTCCTGCTCAGACGACCTCAGGGCTTTCAGATTTACATTCTCCAGGGAATCCCCTAAAGTGATATAAGTTCTACCAAGGCAGGGACAGTGACTGACTACCTGTTCCCCTGATCAGGTACTGGGAAAATAACTAGTTCTTGGTGAATAATGGAATGATGGTGAACCCAGTGTCCGCACTGTGTGGAAGACAAAGGCAGCAGGCTCTTCGGGTTTTGTTCATCCTTTTCTCTGGGACATTGGTCCTCAGGGTGTGGGCTGTGTACCACTACCACACTAGCAGCACCATGGCCACCAGCACCAGCACCAGAGAATTTGCTGGAAATCCAAAACCACAACCCCATCCCAAATGTACTGAGCCCTAATATTTGGGCTTGAGCACGCCTTGCATCTGACTAATTCTCGCTGAAGCTGAAGAAACGGTGTTGTTAGACGCACTGAGAAGTGGGTGGAACACCTTCTTAGGGTCCCCACTTCCACCTGCTCAGGTGTCACTGTTAGTGCCTTCTCTGACTTGTTCAGGGCAGGAAGCATGCTATGGAGACTAGCAGGGACTGAAGAGAAACTAGCTCCACCCACCCACCCATAAGTGCTCCCACCCTCTGCAAACCAGGATGATGGCTGCAGTGCCCCTTCCTCTTTCAGCACAACCTGCAGATGCTTCCAGAAGATAAGCTCTACATACTCTCCTCCACCCTGAGCAGCAGGTGCCAGAGAGCTTTCGGGTGGCCATTCCCTCTCCCAGCAGCTTCCCAGAACCCTGTGAGTGCCCTGCAGGTACAGCTGAACCATCCTCTCCTCCCACTCCTGCCCTCCTCCCCATCTCAAGAGTCAAAGGGGATGGGGGCTGAGATGAGAGATTTCAATAAGAGCTGGCCCCTGTCCTGCTCCATGTACTCTATAGGACCAATTCATGCTATACACCTGAAAGCAGCTATTCACACCTGTCAAAAAGGAGGGGGACCAAGGGTTATATGAGGAGCCAGACCTCAAAGATGTCAAAAGAACGAACCAGGAGTCCTACACTAGCCAGGCATGATGGCTGACACATGAAGCAAGCACTCACGAGAAGGATGAGATAGGTGGATTGCCATGAGGTCCAGGCCAACCAAGATGGCTTTGGGGAGGGGGAGAAAAGGGGGACAGGGGAAAAGGGGAGGAGAAGGGAAGGGGAGGGAGGGTATCTTGTAGTATCTAAAATAACACCGAGAAACAGCTGGAGCCACACGGAGGGTTTCCACTGGAGGCCCACACTGGGGCTTACTGCCAGGAAGAGCGTAAGGGCAGGGTGCAGGTCATGCTGCTGGGAACTGTGGAGTAGGGAGATGATGAATCCACAGTGCTGACTGCCATCAGTTCTGGGGGAGGGAGGAGGGAGGCCTCTGGAGAGCTGGGGGACAGTTGGAGAGACAGGAGATTTCAGTCTGACTAAAAGATGATTCTAGAAAAGCTACAGGAAATATGTCTTTGAATATGTAAGCAACCCCTGAGTAGCAGAGAGAGAAGCCTGCTGCCAGGTTTTTATGCACACAACCCTGTTTACTCTGCACAGCCACTCCAGAAGGCAGGTGCGCTGATCTGGGGACTCTCACTTTATTAATAAAGAAACAGAGGCACAGAGCGGCTTGGACACTGGTGACAGCCAGGAAGCCAACGGGTGGTAGAGGTGGGAGCCAGCCCTGGCCTGGCTGACTCGGAAGCCTGACTTTCCACAGCAAGTCTCCCTGTTCCCCAGAGGTAACCAGGGCAGAGAAAGGATATGGCACTTGGCCAAAGTCAGGCAGTGAGTGACACTGGGAGCCAGGATTAGTCACAGAGCTGGAAGGTTTAGCTGCCTGGCAACTGCCCCTCCTGCAGACATTCCTGTTCCTGACTGCCCCTGGCCTGCGCACTGGAGGGGCATGTTGCACATGCCATGAAGTGCTGACTGGGCAAGACCTGGCTTATTTATGTAACCTGAGATCTGCTGACTGAAGGAAACCAGTGCCCACAGATGGACCCATGATATGGATCAGACACTCCCCTAGGCTTCAATCAGTCACCCAATCAGGGCAGCACAGTTGAGATTTTTAAATCCCCAGCACAAACTAAACACTTGCTGCCTACCAAGGGTCTCCTGGTGCTCTTTTAGTCCCCTGGAGTACCAACCCAGGAGGATGATTGTCAGTTCTAGTGCAATGGTCTGCATTGACCAAAGCATGCGCGAGCGCGCGCGCACACACACACACACACACACACACACACACACACACACACGAATACATACACGGGGGTGGGGAGAGCACATGTGATTTATACAGGCAGGAGCACACAGCATATGCATGCTTGAGCCAAGAAAGTATGAAAGACAAGCCCAGACAGACATACACAAAGAGACAGACCTCCATTAGCCCCTGCATCTCACTGTTCTGCCAGGAGATTCAAGGTGTAGCAGATCTTTCATACAGTAACAGGTGCCAACTCTTGAGATGAAGATGTATATTAAATAATGTTTCAAAGTGCCTCCCCCACACTCCAGAAGCAACCATAAATGAATGGGAGAATGAACCAGGGAGAAGCCTGAGGGCATGTGAACTATTAGGTTACCTTCACAAAAGCCTGGAGCTGAACCCTGCTCAGGTCTTTGGGAAACACAGAAGCCCCTTCCTATCCTAGGACTTGGTTCGTAAAAGTAAGGGAAAAAGCAACTACTCTACATGTAAGCATTTCGGGCGGATCTGGGATGGGACAGGAGTGGGTCAGGTATTCCGGCCTCGGGAGTCACAGGATACTGAGTGTTACACAGCTCAGGTGGAAAGGTATCCTGGAGCTTGGGAGCCCAGGACCACCACAGGTTACAGTAAGCATAGCAGCTTACAGCTCAGCCTGTCAGGGAAAGGCTTCCCCAGTGTATCGGCTCAGCTCCTGTAGGACAGGGTCTTCCAGCTGGGGATGTTCACCTAGTGTAGCAGTTTTGCTCGGCAGGAGGTTTCTCGGGGGAAGTTGCTACAGTTGAGCTCTGCTCCTGGAGGGCAGAGAGCAGAGGGCGGGGAGAGGAGTGTAACAACTCTGCTCTGCCAAGGGAAGGTTCCCCGGGCAAAAGTGTTACAGCCCTGCTCTCTCTGCTCTGCCCAGGGTCACCGCTAAAGAAGATCTTCACCCAAAGCTCATCCGAAGGGGTTTATTGGAAGGAAGCAGCTGGACCAGCCAAGCCGAACATACACAGGGTTTATATAGGGCTTCTTGGGGGCGGGAAAGTTTTTCCAGGGTAGGGATTGGTCCGATTTCAGTGCTGCGCTCAGATTGGCTAGAGCTCTGCTCTGGGATTGGTTACTTTTTTACACAGGATTAGGGTCAGATTTGGCTCTGGTTTCAGGGCCAAAGTGTGTTTCTTTCTCTGGTCCTTTTTAGCCTTTTGGCTCCAATTGTAAGGCCAGGGTGCATTTCTTTCACCGACTCAGATTCCAGGGACAAAGTGTGTTCTTTTGGCACTGGTTTCAGGGTCAGGGTACATTTCTTTGGTTCTGGTTGCAGGTCCAAAGTGTATTTCTTTGGCTCTTCTCAGGGTGTGTTTCTTTGACTGGCCCCTTTTCCCTACACTACAAGTTTCAGGAGCCTCCCCTGAACCCTGCATACAGTGACAATGGCAGGCTGGGCTCAAGTGGAACCTTGCATACATATCAGAGGCACACCCAAAGTCCTGTATTTAAAAGCCATCTCTCACACACACTGTCCAGACAAGGACACAAAAATTAGCCAAGTTATTTTAAGTAGACCGGGAATGTGATCTGATCAACATTTGCAAGCGACCCCTCCAGACAGAGGTAAGAGTCAGGAAGCAGGGTGAGCGAGGCAGCCTGGAGCAGGAGTGGAGGCGTACAAGCCGGTCCAGGGTCCCCCCGCAACCCACGACATGGTTCTGAGTATCGGACCATTCCAGCAGAACTGAGAGGCTGGGAGAGTTGGTGCCTGAGCCACAACTCCCTGAAGCTGTCCTTGGATCAGGAACATGAGGGCTCTGAGCCCACAGAGCGACCCTCGGAGAGGGACCGAGGAGGCAGGAACAGACCAGGGAGGTGGCAAAGGCGGGAAGGTTTAACAGAACTCAAGACTTAGATTTCCCACTCATGGAGGCCCCAGCGCATCCTCCTTTGTAACAACGCAAAGCCTCTATGTTACAAAAGAGAAAGCCGAGTCCCGAAGAAAGCACAACGTTTGCAGGCCCAGACGTTCTAGAATTAACAGGATCGTTTGGCCCTGCCTATGGGCTCTCTCGGCATTTTTGCCAACCTCTCCTCTCGGGGGAAAAAAAAAATGTACCCCTTCTCTAGCACCTAGGAAAAGCATTAAAAAAAAACCGCAAACCGGAAGCCCAGCAACCAGACTCATGAAACAATGAGCTCACGCACAATACGCATGCGTCTACTAAGCCCAACTCCCTAGAGGCAGGCAGCCCTGCCTTTCCAAATGCCATCCCACCACAGCCTCCCTCCACCACGGCGTGCCTCCACAAGTGCGCTTCCTGCCGCGTACGGAAGTGAGTGCGTCTGACGTCATATGGAGGCGCCGGCGGCTCCGAATGCGACGGAGACTACACGTGAGCCATGGATACACCGCTGAGGCGCAGCCGGCGGCTTGAAGGCTTAAAACCTCTGTCTGTAGAGCCCCTTCGTGACCCCGCAGTTTCCCGAGCGAGACGGGCCCTTGTGGAGTTCAAGTCGAACCCAGACGAAAGAAGCGAGCCCAAGTCTCCCCAACCTCGGCCGGAGACAAGTCCCGGATCACCCTGTCTGAAAGAGGATGCAGTCTTTGGGCTCCTCCAAAGGCAGCCAGAGCCTGGACCCGGGTCCCTCCAACCACAGCAAGATCTGGGCCTGGAGTCACCCGCAGGACAGACAGAACCGAGTCCGGAATGCCCCCAACGAGAGGAGTCATCCAAATCTTTTCCCACAAAAGGAGAACTGGACTCAGAGGTGGTGCACGCTAAGGAGTTGATCCCAGGATCCCCAGAGCCTTGCCCGGGCCAGCAAGCACCGGGTCCCGAGCCCTCTCAGCCAGTACAGGAGCTGACATCCCAGACATCCAGCTTCCCAGAGCGCCAGCAGGAACCAAACAGGCCACCTCCGGCTGGCAAGACGGTGACAGGAGGCCTCGACGTAAAGAAGCGAGTTATACCTTCTCCCCAGGCCCCGGCGCCCAAGAAATTGAAGGAGAAGGAGGAGCTTCCTGTAATCCCGAAGGGGAAGCCCAAATCCGGGCGCGTGTGGAAAGACCGCTCCAAGAAGAGGTAAAGTAGGGTAGCACTGCCGGGCGTTGGTGGCGCACGCCTTTAATCCCAGCACTCGGGAGGCAGAGGCAGGCAGATCTCTGTGAGTTCGAGGCCGGGCTAGACCGACAGCCTCCAAAACAATACAGAGAAACCCTGTCTCATAAAAAAAAAAAAATGGGGGTAGCATGGGCGATGGGTAGCGTTCTCCGTGCGTTTGAACCCTGCCTTCGCCCAAATTCAATCCCAGGGTTGGAAAAGAGCTTATCTGAGTGAAGTTAACAAACACGATCATAACCAGAATGTCAAAATCCCCTGAGGTTGGGGAGGGAGACCCTCAGTGGTCATTTCTCTACTGTTGTCAGCCCTTGGGTGGGTTCTTTTGAACTCCCCCCCTTCCATCTTTTTTATTTTGAGACAGGGTCTCATTGTGTAGCACTGCCAGTCCTGGAATTCACAGAGATCTGCCCGAGTCTGCCTCTCTAGTGCTGGAATTAAAGGCTTACACCACCACACCAGGCCCTTCGGTCCTCTTGTCCAGAGTTCAGTTCCAAAAATACTTATTTCGTCTGCCATATCTGTTGAGGGAGGCCGAGCAAGAAAAGCATGACCACAGTGATGTCCTTTCCTCTGTTGTCTGCTGGTGGTTGTCTGTGATAACATGTATCACCAGACACTTCAGTAGGGACGACCAGAGGGACAGACACTGCCCTTTAGAGCAAGTGTTACTGTTATTATACATCTGAGGAAACCAGGGCTCGGGGAGGCTGAAGGAGACACCGGATGTGCGCATGGATTTGGTTACAAGGCCTGTGATTGGAACCCACTAACCTGCTTCTGTTGATCTGACTTGACTCAGGTCGCAGCCTTCTTAGGACATGAAGTCTTCCTTGTCCTTTCAGTGCTGGGGCATCATAAATGCTCAGTTCGTGTCTTTGGGTGAGGGAATGTAGAGGCTCATATGGAAAAGGCATCGTTAGGCAACAACAGGGAAGAAGGGGTGGGGTTCAGTTGAAATTTCCTCTTTGGGGAAGGTGAAGTAGAGTTCGGTTGAAATTTCTGCCAGAGATAAGAATTCATAACAGTAAGGGAACCGGGCCTGGGTTTTTTAAGGAAATGACATTGACTGAGGGCGGACTGAGCCGCGCTTTGCACAGGCTCTTCACAGATAGCACTTTGTTATAGTCTTAAACCCTAGGTACTGGGTGTTGCTCCTCCCCCCTTGCACACCTATTAAACAGAAGCAAGTGAAGCTTAGAGAGAAAGACAGAAACTTTGAAGCACCCCCTTTCCCTGTGTCAGCAAGTCACAGTAGCCAGGCCACTGGTGGCCACACATAACCAGCCAAAGGTGTTGGTTCAGGCTGGGGAGAGGGTGAGTGAGCGTAGTTCAGTGTGGAGCTTTGGCCCCGCACTCACCCTCAGATGGGGAGGGTGGGTTACTGGGTGTGAAGGGGCTGTGCCATGCTGAGTGGGAGGAAGACGAGGGTCAGCAGAGGTGGGAAGTAAGCCTGGACCACTCCACCGGCAAGGGATGGAGGGTGCCTGGTCCCAGCTCCCCCAAGCTCTTGCCCCTCTACACGCTTTACCTGCACACAGGAGGATGCGGTGGCGGAGAGGCTTCCTTGTGCAGGGTTACACAGGCAGTGAGTGATGGGCTCAGGACCAGACCTCCAGGCCTGTCTTCCCACTCCAGTAACTGGTGCTGTCCATCAGCACTGCCTCAGTACTTCAGTGAGTACACCAGCCTTGTGTGACTATTTACATTGACTTTATTGAGTGAAATAAAGATCCTCTTGAGTTTTCTTAACATGGACCACAATTGAAGTGCTCCAGCAGCCTGTGCTTAGTGACTCCCTTTCAGGACACATGAGATGGGGACCATTTCCATGATGCAACATTCTCATGGGACTGCTGCTCTGAAAAGACATAGCATCATGACTCCTCCAGGCTTCCATCATCTTATTCCTTCTGGATTCTTGAATCTCAGATTTTAAGGGTAGCAAGGAAGTCCACCACACACCCCACTGCTCTGTTTTTGGGGAGCAGGGTCTTGAGCAAGCCTCTGTGGACCTGGCAAGGGAGGGGATCAGAAGTTACCAGTGCAGTGGGTCAGGGCAGAATCAGACAGCTTATGAAGCAGCCTGGGGCCAAGTTCCAGACCATGAGTGTCAGACTCCTAGGAAGGGAGCAGACCTCTCTCTCAGAAGAGCAGTGTTGACCTTCATCTGGTCAGGAACAGACTGCTCCCAGACCTGCAGAGACAGGGTTGCCTCAAGATACCCTACTGACAGGTAAATGGGAACGCCTGCAGGAGTCAAGGTCAAAGTGTAGGAGCAAACGGCACTGTGAAATGGTCTGCTGAGGAGCCGTGGAGCTCTGGGGAAAGAACAGGCCCATGGGACACCCAGCAGGCTTGGCAGGTGATGGAGGAGAAACCATATGTGGAGACTTGTCCTCATTTTATTTTTACTTTTTATCATGGAACTCTTGAATGGTACTGAAATGGGAAGAGCTAAGTTTTATGAATCTCACCACCAGTTTCAACAGTTCTCAGCATTTCCTGGCCCAGCTTCATTGCCCTGCACTTTACCCTCCTAGAATGTTTTAAGTGCACCTTAATATGTTCTTACGAAGTCACCTCCATTCTTCTATGGCTCCTAAGAACATTAGACTCTCCAGAAAAGCCAGACTTCTCAGAAATCCCCTAATCCCACTCCTCCACACACACACATACCCGCCCCAAGCTGGGAAAGAATCAGAATTGTTACAGAAAAGCCCCCTTGTTCTTGCTGTTTGGAAGTACAGCCACACCCCTGTAGGGAGTGAGCATCTCATTTTCAGAGGCATTCACTCACGGGATGCCATGTTTGGTAGCAGCAAAACCTCACAGCTGAGGGTACAGAAAGGTTCAAGTCCCAACCTATACTCAGGAACGAGAAGACTCTGGGAGTCTTGGTTTGTTCCTCTAGAAATGGGAAGCACAAGCCCACCTCAGAGTTAGAGCCACATGCTTAGCGCTCTGTTCCATCCTGAGTTCCTATAGAAAGCTGAGTGCCAGGCAGGCAGGAGAGGCCAGGAAGCAGACCCAGAGCCAGTGAGAGCAGAGTGTGAATGCCGCCCCACAGAGATCCCCTAAGTGCCTCCTTTCCTTCCAAGGTTCTCCCAGATGGTTCAGGACAAGCCCCTGCGTACCTCCTGGCAACAGAAAATGAAAGAGCGACAGGAGAGGAAGCTGGCCAAGGACTTCGCCCGGCACCTAGAGGAGGAGAAACAGCGGCGCCGGCAGGTAACAGGACATCCGGCCAAATCTGGATCACGCAGGCCAAATACGTGTGTGCTGCCGGGGGAAGAAGAGTCGTAGGAATCCTGCTCTACCATCCGGCTAAACCTCTGGCTCAAGGCCATGCTGGAGACCTGGGAGTAGAATGAGGAACCCAGGATGAAGGCCAGCAAGCCATCTTGGCGGCAGGATATTGAGTGTAGTAGAGTCAGCCTGCTGACAAGGAAAAGGCTTGTCTTCAATTCGCTGCTGTTCTAGAGGAGACTCCATACGCCAACCTGTGGGTGGTCCCTGCACTTGCCTTGCGGTCCACTTTCCTGGCATCCTTGTTACAGGCTCACGCCTGCGAGCTAGGGCCACCCGTACTCAGTGGGAGAGCACTTGACTGGCACGCACGAGGCCTTGGGTTCCAGCACCACACAGGCTTATTTCCAGCACTTTGGCCTCCAGGAAGCCTTGGAAAGTGACCCAGTGTCTGTCACTGTAGCAGACAGTACTGAGAAAGCAAGGTCATGCTGGGCTGGTCAGCAGCACTGCCCCCAGCACCAAGTTCAGGGGTCACTGCTAGTCAGAAGACTAGTCGTTTGACACTGATCAGTGTTCCTTCTACACCTTGGGTCTTCTGACCTTGCTTTCTCAGTACTGGCCCATCTATGGTTCCAGCTTGGTCACTGAGAAGAGGGATGGGCCAGTCGCTAAGGCATTCTCCGCCTTGCTTTGAGTCACTCCAGATCTGTTACTGAGGCCTCATCTCTTTTCCTGTGCAGTTGCCTTCTCATGAGCAACTGGAGAGGTACATCCTCCCGGCCCTCCTCCTACATAGGAGCAAAGGTCACTTCCTCCCCCAATGAACGACTCAAAGTTGTCAAAGCCACAAAGGTCCTGACCACAACATTTAGTGTTGGAGCCACCATCCCTGTCCTAGCCTTGCTGGTACAGTAGCAGCCTAGCTTGGAAGCCCTGGACTTCCCACCCCAGAACACGTGTATTTCTCAAGTCAGTCTGGTGAGATAGATCCTGTGGCCAGCCTTACTGTAGAGGTGAGGAAGTGGAGGCATAGACTCAGCCACAGTAACCAGTTAGAAAGGAGCAGAATGAAAACTCAAGCTGGACCAGGTTCCTCCAGAGCCTTTTGACAGCTCAGCCTGCCCAACCCTACCTGGAACCAGGTGCGGAGCCCAGCTGTATCCTGGCCTTGCATTCTCATTCTGGTCCACCTGAGCCTGGGCAGAAGGAAACCTGGGAAAGTAGCATAAAGGAGGGAACCAGTCTAGCTCTCCCCCTGGCAGCTAGTGCTTGGGATGATGCAAGGGGCCCTTCTTCTGTGTGACTTCTGGGTGGGAAATCACCCACATCTGTGTAGGCCCCTACCCTCAGACAGCTAAACACCACCTTTCTAATTTGGAGCCAGGTTCTCTTGACACAGTAGGCCTCAGCTCCAGGACTACAGCATAGACATTGTACCCCATTGTTCTTCCCCAGGAATGCCTAGACCTCCACCCCTCCCCCGCAGGAATAACCTGGAAGTCCAAGCAGGCTTCTCCTGGTTGTGCCAGTTCTCACCAGGGTCCTGAGACACACGCACGCACGCACACAGAGCTCCTAGCCTGAGATCCCCTTCTGTGTTTCAGGAGAAGAAAGAGCGCCGAGCTGAGAACCTGAAGCGCCGCCTAGAGAATGAACGAAAGGCTGAGATCGTGCAAGTGGTGAGTACACGCATACAAGAGATTCAGGCCGTGGCCGGGTGGAAGAGGCCTTTAAGGTGCTTAGGCTCCCTGCCTTACATGGTTCACCGTCCTGCTGCAGTCCTGGCCCCAGCAACAGACATAGAGGCCTCAGCCACACTGATGCCTCCTATTCCCCTCTTTCCCAGATCCGAAACCCCGCCAAGCTCAAGAAGGCGAAGAAGAAGCAGCTGCGCTCCATTGAGAAGAGAGACGCCCTGGCTTTGCTCCAGAAGCAGCCGCCCCAGAGGCCTGCAGCCAAGGTCTGAGCTCACAACAGCCCGGAGCCTCCACAAGCCACCTCTCAGCTCACTGTCAGACATCTCTCCTGGGGCCAGCACACCATCTCTGTAGCTTTAAGACAGGACCAGCATCCCAGAGGGCAGGGGAGATTTAGCTGTCTCCATCTCTTTTCAGGTCTTTGCCAAAGTGCCTTAGGGCAGTGGTGGTGCACACCTTTAATCCTAGCACCGGGGAGGGGGTGTGCAGGGACAGGCAGACCTCTGAGTTTGAAGCCAACCTGGTCTACAGAGAGAGTTCCAGAACAACTAGGGCTACACAGAAGCCCTGTCTCCAACAATAACAACAACAAAAAGGTCTTGAACTGTGAATCCTGTTCCTCAGTGAGCTGGTGGCTAACCCCGTCTCAGGTCCTGGGTCTAGCCCACACCTGGAGGCCAGATGTCAGAAGTCTGCTCCTCCATTTTCCCAAAGGCCAGCCACCTGGCCACTAGAATTCTTCACACTCTGTCCACTCGGCTGACTGAAACCAGCCCCTTCCTGTAAAGTGGGGAGGTTGCAGAACTGGGGTCCCCTCTAACATCCCTTTCCCACACTGGACTGTAGAAGCCTTAGGACTCGAGCTGGGCTCACCTGGTCTTCCATAGAAATGTTTATTGATGTCTGCACAAGTACAGTCTGGGCTTTCAAAAAGACACAAGTCCCTGCCCCATTGGGCTTCCATTCTTACAATAAACAACTGAAACGCATGGTACGACAGGTATGCCGTGCTGAGTAAAGCAGGAGGGGGTGGAGGGTGACGTTTACTGCCCAGTTTGAGAAGCACCTGCCATGCTTGAGGCCTGCTTGACACAGAACTGGCAGCCAGCCTGGCCTTCAGTGGTGGGAGATGCTGAGATTGTCTCACCTGCTCTTCCCATCACCACTCACGGACATCAGCTCCCCTCACCTGGATGCAGAGATGAGTGGCAGCTGTCCTGCAGTCCATCCATGGCGGGGAAGACGTTAGGTGAGTGTGGAGGAAGGTCTGTGGCTGATGCAAGGTGCCCTACCTGCGGGTTGGAAGTGAGCTGCCAGGCCCTGTCCTGTGAGACAGCTGTAATACTGAGGGTAGTTGGAGGATGTTCTCTCTGATAGACTTGAACCTGTGGTGCTGAAGGCTACAGTGCAGGCTCTGGTGACGGCAGCTCTGAAACTGGGCAGCAAAGATCCCTGAGCTGGAGTTGACATTTGGCATACCTTATAAGACTAGCAAGCTGACCAGCAAGGTTGTGTAACAAAAGCATCTGGCTCAAAGGCCAACTGGGCATTAAAAGTGGAGGTGGTGGGCTGAAAACTGCTTCTCAACCCTTCTCCCACTGTACCCCCAGATCCTCTATAGATCATTAGCAGAGCCTGCTCCCCATCCACAATACAGTGCCTCAATGACATGTGGGCTGTGAGTTCAACCCATGTGACTCCAATTGTCCTTGGGCCAGTTACCTGGAAGGTATTAGGAGGACAAAATCTCATCCCTACCTCATCAGTTACCCTAGCAAGATCCCTTGTAAGTTCAAGGACTTCTGATCACAAAAGTGGTCAGAAACCAGGTAGCTCATTCAAAGGCCACTTGTGCACCCGGCGGATTCTCTCCCAGCTCCACACTGCAAGATCAAAATGTTTAAGGTTGCTTTCTGTTCACTTTGCTCCTGAAGATGCAGTCGCCTAGGGCACTTCCACAAGCCGGTTCACCTAGCATTGGCTATGTACATTTTCAACAGTGTGGCGAGATGCCAGGGGTGTGTTGGTGTGCCATCCCAGCTATGCTTGTCTAATCGGAGGTGGAGCTCAGCGCGGGGTTCAGTGAGCCTCGCTTTTCCTGGGACTGCACTGGGGCCCTCTTCTGGGGCTCTGTACCACCACCACCACGCATCCAGCGGATCAAGCGTGAAGGATGCAACTGGGGACGGCGGCCAGCCAGCAGGAGGGTGGAGGTTGAGGTAGCAGTGGAGGAGGCACGGCGGCGGCGGCTGCCAGGCCCACCACTCAAGTCGCTGTCCTCCACCAACACGCTTTCAAACACCGCACGCAGTGAGCGCTTTAACTTGTGCATCATGTCCGGACAGGTGAGCACGTAAAGCAGGGGATTGACCACGCTGTTAAAGAAAGCCAGGCTCGTGACAAAGGGCAGCCCACGTAAGGCAAGGTGCCTTAGCGTGGTGACAGCATGTGCATGCGCCTCCAGCAAACTGAAGACATGGTAGGGCCCCCAGCAGAGCACGAAGGCCGCCACGATGGCTGCCACCAGACGCACGAAACGGCCTGTCCTCTGGCGGCCACGGTGGCGCAGTTGCAGGCTCACAGCAACGTGGCTCAAGGCAATAATGGCCAGAGGCACCACGAAGGCCAACAAGAACTTGCTGACCGCCAGGGCCTTCTGGCGGTAGTTGCATATGGCCTCGCGGTCTGGTCCTGGGTTCAAGAGCAGCAGGTTGTAATAGCACATGATGCGGCCGTCCAGCCGCGGGATGGTGTCCCTGAACACAAAATAGGGTACTGTGTTTAGCACTGCCAAAGCCCAGAGCATCAGGCAGATTCTGTGTGCGACCGCCACCGTGCGGTGGTTCTGTGCCCACACCGGCCGCACCACCTGCAGGCAGCGGTCCAGGCTGATGGCGCTGAGCAGGAAGCCGCTGGCAAACATGTTGAGAAAGAAGACCGAGGAATGAAACTTGCAAAAGGTGGTACCCAGCTCCCATGAGTGGCCCACCGCCAGAAAGTAGGTGAAGAAGGGCAGGGAGGCAGCGGCTAGCAAGTCCGATAGCGCCAGGTGCAGCACCCAGGTGGTGACCACCGTCTGGTGCATGCGACAGCCCACCACAAACAGGATGAGTCCGTTCTCCACCAGACCCAGCAACGCAGCCAGCCCATGCAGCAGCACCGACACGTGGTCAATATAGCGGATGCTAGAGTTGCTGTGGCTTGGAAGATGGATCATCTCCTCCAAGAGTGGACAGAGCAGCTTCTGTGTGATGTTGGCCATGGTGAGGTGGAAGAAAGGAGAGCTGAGTCTGGCACCCGGGAACCAGAAGCCTGTAGCCTGGGGGCAAGAGAGGAACCTATCTCAGAGTTGCCAGTACAGCCTGGCAATAGGATGGATACTGGGTCAGTGAGGCTGAGCAAGGCAAGATACCAATATCCCAGCCGCCCTCTTCCCCCGGTGCAGTTTTGGGCAAGCCAAGTGTAGCCTTCCTGAGCTTGTGTCCTCCTAACATATCCCTAGCTTGTAGGACTACTGGAACAATAAAATGAGAACTTTTCGAAAGGGTTTGAGGTGGTCGGGCAGTGATGGTGCACACCTTTACTTCCAGCACTTGGGAGGCAGAGGCAAGCGGATCTCTGTGAGTTCAAGGCCAGCCTGGTCTACAGAGTGAGTTCCAGGACATCCAAGACTGTTTCACAGAGAAGCCCAATCTCAACAAACAAAACAATATGAGATAAACGGGGCAAACAGAAGAGGATCTGAGTTTGATCCCAGCACCCAGATATAAAGTAGGGCATTGTGGCACATGCTTGCAATCGCAGTGCTAGAGAGGAAAAGACAGGTGGATCCTGGGGACTCACTGATCAGCAGCCTAAATTCATCAGTGAAACCCAGGTCCCAGAGACTATAACTCAAAAAAAACATAGTCGGGATAGCGAGGTGGCTCCACAGAAAAGCACATTCTGCTTCTCTAGGGGACTGATGTTTGGTTCCCAGTACCCATGTTGGGCAGCCCACAACTGCATGTATAACTTCGTCCCAGGGGATCCGAATCCTGTGGCCTCTCTATGCACCTGCATTCATTCACACACACTCGCACACACATGCACTTTAAAATAATAATCTGTTTTTGTTTGTTTGCTTTTTGAGGCAGGGTTTTTCTCTGTAGCCTTGGAGCCTATCCTGGAACTCACTTGTAGACCACTCTGGCCTTGAACTCACAGAGATCCACCTGCCTCCCAAGTGCTGGGATTAAAGGCATGTGCCACCACCACCTGGCTAATAAAAATCTTTTTTGGGGGGGTTTCTCTGTATTGTTTTGGAGGCTGTCCTGGAACTTGCTCTGTAGACCAGGCTGACCTCAAACTCACAGAGCTTCGCCTGCCTCTACCTCCCGAGTGCTGGGACTAAAGGCATGCAGAATAAAAATCTCTTCAAGGTGGACTGTTCTTTAAGCAATAGCACTCAAGGCTGACATCTGATTTATACGTACACAAACATATACCTACATTCATGTGCGCACACACATACATACTTTAAAATAATAATAATAATCTTTTTAAGGTGTCTGCTCCTAAGGAACACTCAAGGTTGACCTCTGACTTACACACACACATATACACACACATACAAACAAGGGAGCCAGCATAAAGCAGGCACTGTATCAGTACCACTGTGATTAATATTAAGAACCCGTCCAAGACCACAAAGGTCAGACCAGGCAGGACTCATTTTCCTGGTCCCCAGAACACAGAGGGATGGGTGTGGCCCCTCATATGAGATGGGAGGTCTGTACCACCCAACACTCTAAGCCTTACCTGGTTGCAGTTCCTCCTAGAGAGCCTGTCTTCTCAGAGGTGACTGCTTGGTGTGCTTGGGAGTGAGATCGGGGGAGCCGGCCCCTCCTCTGATAGAAGGAGAGGAAATAAGATAAGAGACAAGCGAGAGGCCTGGCTGGAGGAACTATCACATGAGGTTTCTGGGGACCCAGGAGGGCAGCTCAGTCCTGTGTGTCCCAGGAAACCCATCCCATTCACTCACGCCCACGCTCGGCCAGTAGCCACGTTGAGCAAAGACTCAGGCACTCTGGAAAAGCCGGCTACTGTGCATGCTCACGTCTTCAAGGAGAAACCCAGGCCCTGTGATGAAGTGGGGGTCAGGGAGGGTGGAGGGAATCAGGTTGGGGACTCTGCAAAAGGGAGGAAATGAAAGCAGGCTGTGGGAACTCAGGTTGTGCCAAGCACCCATGACCTTCCAGAGAATGTGGGGTCCTGATGCTTCCTCATGGCTCTGGAAGAAACATGCCAGCACTCTCCATCCCATTGCACAGATGGGAAAACTGAGACACAAGTGTTTAAAGTGCTAGTTGCGCCACCCAACATAGCCATATGGCAGAGAGACTGTTCAGTCCCCAGCCTGCCGTCTCTCTAGCCTTGCAAGTGATGACAGAGAAAGAGGAGGGTGCTGGGGACTTCAGGACTCCTCTTCCCCACGGAAAGAGTGGTCAGAATGGAAAAATCTACTCCGTTTCGGGGACCAGTGTCCTTCCCAGGGTTGGGTTCTGGGACACCAAGCTAGAATTTCCCTTACAGGATACCTCTTGGAGCTAGGCCAGTGGGAACAGACAGACCTGTGATCACCGAATTCTTCCTGATCCTTCTTTCTAAGCTTTCATATCTGCAGAGCAGTCATACTCATCTTAGACCAATGAGAGTAGCTCTTGAGGAAACTGTGGTTCACAGAGGCACAGCAGCTGGGCCAGTGCTCTGCAGGGAGACTGAGGCTCTCCTCCCCGCAGGCAGGTGCGAGCCACTCTCTGCCCTGGGATGCTCCCTGTCAACTACAGTGCCCCTATCATGTGGGATGCTCAGAGGACAGTGCTGCTACATTCTTGGGAACCACCCAGTCTGATCCTCAGGCTGCATGGAGACATCCTCAAGACTGCTATAGTGGGAACCCCAGCTTCCCAAAGTCCTGAGCTTAGATCCCAGTTCCTCAGCTTCCAGATGGGTGATCTTGTCCGTTTCTCTAAGCTCACTGTGTGATCCTGTCCCCACACCTGAGGTTGCTGTGCATGATGGCCATGACTGCACAGGTCACCTTTGTGTCTACCATCTAGCTAGCATTCCTTCTGGGCATCAGACCTCATCAGGCTCCTAAACTCATCCCCCTATCATCCTAGCTAGGAGCAGCCCTCTCTCTAGTCCTGAGAGGGCACCAAGGCTGCCCAGTCCCCCAGAAGACTGACTCCTTACCTAGCCACAGAGTGAGCAAGGGTTGAGCCAGGGAGGCTGGCGGCTCCTGAAAGCAGCAAGACTGGGCACCAGGCAAGTGGCAGGAGAGGAATGAGCTGAAGGAGGAAATAGCTGTCAACCCAGAGGGCAGGGGCGGGGACACTACATTCAAGGTCTTTCATCTCCATCCAGGCCACAAGCCCCTGGTCCGCCCCTTCTCATCATGGAGGATTCTGTAACCCACAGGGCAGTGTAAGTCTTTAACTGCCAGTACCATGATACAAAGATCCTCTGCCGAGAAGTACTCCAGGTCTTCTGGGCTCCCAAAGCAGCATGGGTCCCTGTCCCTAAGGAACAGAGGAAGCAGTGTGAGGCCTTGGGAAGAGGATAGAGACAGTTAGCCAGGAGGTCGGTCGCTTCCCCTTGCTGGGTGTTGTCAGCTATGAACAGGAGCAAATCTTCTCACAGCAAGTGGTGAGGAGGGATGAGGTGGGTCACAGGAACACCTGGGTGTTGTCAGCTATGAACAGGAGCAAATCTTCTCACAGCAAGTGGTGAGGAGGGATGAGGTGGTCACAGGAACACCTGGGTGTTGTCAGCTATGAACAGGAGCAAATCTTCTCACAGCAAGTGGTGAGGAGGGATGAGGTGGTCACAGGAACACCTGGGTGTTGTCAGCTATGAACAGGAGCAAATCTTCTCACAGCAAGTGGTGAGGAGGGATGAGGTGGTCACAGGAACACCTGGGTGTTGTCAGCTATGAACAGGAGCAAATCTTCTCACAGCAAGTGGTGAGGAGGGATGAGGTGGTCACAGGAACACCTGGGTGTTGTCAGCTATGAACAGGAGCAAATCTTCTCACAGCAAGTGGTGAGGAGGGATGAGGTGGTCACAGGAACACCTGGCACACAGTAAGTGCTCACAAAAGCGGCTTCTTCCCCATCCACAGAAAAGTGGGAAAAGTGGGTAGCTGCTACACAGTGAGGGTTCCTCATGAAAATAGACCCCAAGTCCAAGGTGGGAGAAGGTTGAGTCTTAGCAGTGTGAATTTTATTATTCCCTAATGTGTGTGCAGGTGTGTGTGCAGGTGTGTGTGCAGGTGGAGTCATGAGGACACCCTGGCTGTTTGTCCTCAGGAGTCATTCACCTTGTTATTGTTGTGTGTGTGTGTGTAGTATATGTGTGTGTGCATGTATACATGGTGGTGTGTGTGTGTGTGTGTGTGTGTGTGTGTGTGAGTGTGTGTGTGTGTGTGTATAGACCAGAGATCAACATCAGGTGCTTTCCTCAATCATCCTCCATGTTCTTTCTTTTTCATACTTTATTCATTGTATTTTATGTGTACAGGTATTTTTGCCTGCATGCATGTCTCTGCAGCATGTGCATGCAGAACCTATGGAGGCCAAAATAGGGCATGGGAATCCCCTGGAAGTGGAGTTACAGAGTTTTGAGCTGACATGTGGGTGTTGGAAACTGAATCCCAGTCCTCTGGAAGAGCAGTCAGTGCTCTTAACCACTGAGCCATCGCTCTGCCTTATATATTTTTTAAAATTTATTTGTGTATGTGCACACCTGCATAAATTTATGTGTGCAGCATACTTACCAGTGCCAGCAAAGGACAGAAGACATCATCCAATACCCTGCAACTGGAGTTACAAGCAATTAATTGTGAGCTGGCCAGTGTGGATGCTGGGATCTGATTCAGGCAGTTTGTAAAAGTAATGAGTACTCTAAGCGGTTTGTATCTTTTTGGGGGGGGGTTGAGACAGGGTTTCTCTGTATTGTTTTGGAGGCTGTCCTGAAACTAGCTCTTGTAGACCAGGCTGACCTCGAACTCACAGAGATCTGCCTGCCTCTGTCTACCGAGTTCTGGGATTAAAGGTGTGCGCCACCAACGCCCGGCTGACTTCTCACTGAATCTACCACTCACCAATTGGCTAGACCATCTGTCTGGCCAGCAAATTCAGGTCCTCATACTTTCTCAGCAAGCACTTTACCAACCAAACTCTCCAGCCCATCACCTAAGTCCTTATTTCTCCTTTGTTTCTGGGAGTCAGGAACCTTTCTTCAATTTCAACATCCCATACCCAACAAAAATGTGACAAAGTCAGTGTCCCCAGATTGTAGCAAGAAGACCTTGCTCACTGGAAGGTTGGGTTCTTGACACACTTGTCTAAGGCATATGTCAGGGTTAGAGAGTGAGGACAGTGCTATGCCAGCATGAGTGTTCCTCACAGTGCCTCAAGACATGGATCAGCAAGGACCACACAGAATGTTTCTCTTCCCCTGGACCATGATGCTCACAGTCCTTCCTAAGTGCATAGACCTACACATGTTCATCTACCCCTGCTATGGCCCGAGTCTGGATTGTGCCCATAAGCTCATGTTTTGATTTGTAGCTGGTTGTGCAGTTTTGGGAGGTGTGGAACTTAACCAGGCGGAAGTAAGACAGTATGGGTGAGACTTTGTGGTTAGATCCATCCCCTAGTTCCTGGCTCATACTTTGATTCCTGTTCTGACATATGAGCAGCCCCCCCACACTGCAGTTGCTATGACTTGAACTGCTCTGCCATGCATTTCCTGCCATGATGGGCTGAAACTCTCTAAAACATGGACCAAAATACACCTTCCTTCCATTAAGCAGTCATGTCATGTATTTGGTCACAGCAACACAAACATAACTAATGTGCTGCCCAACCTACATAAGCATGGACAAGGCCATAACACAGATGGTGTAGTGGTTAGGCAAGGATCTTCAGGCCAGACTACCAGTATTTGGATCTGGCCCTGCCGTTCCCTACGTGACCTGGGGTGAATAACTCCATAGCAGTAAAATATGGCTCTTAAAAGGTCTTCCTGGAAGACAGGCACTGGTGGTGCACGCCTTTGATCCCAGCACTCAGGAGGCAGGGGCAGGCAGATCTCTGTGAGTTCAAGGCCAGCCTGGTCTACAGAGTGAGCTCCAGGACAGGCTCCAAAGCAATACAAGAGAAATGCTGTCTCGAGTCTTCCTGGGACTGGAGAGATACCTCAGCTTCAGAGTCTGTATCCAGCACTTGTCCGAGAAGGCTTAGACCCACCTGTAGCCCCAGCTCCAGGAGCCCCAGTGCCCTCTTCAAGACTCCACAGGCAATTGCACTCACGTCTGCACATGGACACAGCACACACACTCACATATGAAAAATTAAAAATGAGTCTTCACAAAGTCTTCCTTATGCCTGGTCCCAGCCTTCACAGGAGTTAGTGTGCAATCTGCCGACTGAACTAGGAAAGATTTCCTTCTTTCCCTAAAAGACACATCTCAGGCCTGTACAGACGTCCCTCAGGATCTCAGCCCACCCGAGTCCTCCCCCAAGAGCCTGCATGCAGTCAACATCCTGCACAGATTCTTGTGGCAGCCATGTTAAGGGGCTTTCTTTCTAGATAAAAGCCTTTATCCCCTGACTTTTCTCAATTCTCATTTTTAATCCTGTCATCACCCTCATGTCTTGCTTCCCAGCTCTCCCTGAGGATGTCTTATTGCTAAATAAAAAAGTTTCTAAGCCCTAAAAAGTTACAAAAACAAACCAAAGAAAGAATTCCCTGGAATAGATCTCTGAGGCAATTTCTGAAGACATGAAGAGCTCATAGCATCTTCCCCTTGTCCCAGAGGGCCTTGTGGGATCCTGGATGATTGTGTGTGGCAAAAGCAGCTTCTATGTATGTCCTCAGAGCCAAGCTCCTCCAGCAGAGGTGTCTGGAAAGGATGTTAGCACGTCTCATGCCTCATGCTCTTACCCTAGAGTCTCAGCACCTGATTCAGCATTAGCCACTCCAAGAGTCTCTGATGTGTTCAGAGCAATGAGGGTCCTGGGGACCAGGCTCACTGACTGGGAGTAACAGGCAGAAGGCCTGACTGGTCAATGGGGAGAAAGACCAGTCAAAGGGGATTAGGCCAGCCTGGGGGACAGGAGACTTTCAATGCTCCCTGGGAGCACTTGTGAATGACAGTGACTGGAGCCTTAGGAAGGAGCTAGCATAGCACAGACCAAAGCTACCCCAGGCTTGGAAGAACTCTGTAAAGTGTTTTGCCACACCAGCATGAGGACCTACGTTTGGATCCCTAGAATCCACATGAAAAGCTAGACACAGCAGTGAACACTTGTAATCCCAGTGCTGGAGTAATGGGGACAGGCAGGTCTCTGGAGCCCACTGGCCCTCCAGCCTAGACAAGTTGGTGAGCTCCGGGTTCATCTGAGACGCACTGTCTGGGAAGACAAATATGGAATGCATTTACTTATATGTGGATATTAGCTGTTACATCAGTGATAACCAAGACAAGATACATAAAACCACAGAGGGTGGGTATAGAGTAAGGGACTGTAGTGAATAGTAAGAAAAAGAATTGATAGTTATGGAAGGATTGGGTGGGGCTGGCATGGAGGATCAAGGGCAAAGGGGGAGGAGAGAGTGAATATGAGGAGAGACAGCTAAAATAAAGGGGCATTTGAGGAATAGCATGGAAATATAATACAGTAAAAACTTTCTAAAATATATTCATATATAAAGGTAATCTCAATTAAACTGCCAAATAACAGGGAGATGGAGTCCCAACGAAGCTTCTAGTGCCAATATTGGGTTACATCTAATTCAGTTGTTGGCCAAAACAGCCCCACTGGAATTCCTCAACAACCCAGGCTGTGGCCAAGACTACAGGCTGCTTGCTCTGCACAAACTGACATCAGCCCCCATTGCTGATGACACCTACACAACTCATTGAAGACAGAGCTGTCAAACCGGTGCCTACACAGAGCCTTCACCTCTATGCTCCAGCATCCTTGGTACAGGAGGATGTGCGGCACACTATCAAAAAAGATAAACACCAACCCAGCCACAAACTTTTATCTACAATGGCGTGCTGCCTGCAATATAGGCTAATGCAATGGAGGCGCAAAGCTTGTGAGAGCAACAAACAGCATCTGATTTGACCTAAGTCCCATCCACAAGATAAACCCACCCTGACACTTCTTAGATGAGGCTAGTTGGCCAGGGACCTAGGGTAAAACCAAGTACTACTGTTCTTAAAAAAAGAAAAAAACAAGTAACTCCTAATGACATTTTATCTATTCTCATAGATCAGTGCCTTGCTCAGCCAGCATCAGAAACGCTTCCTCCTACAGCAGCAGAGACCCACAGCCAGATGTTATGCAGAGAGAGAGACCTTGGAACACTTAGCCCTAAATGGGGTGTCAGATCCCTCCTCTAAGAGCCCAGGGAATCTGGAGGAAGAGTAGGCAGAAAGAGTGTGAGAGCCAGAGGAGATGGAGGACACCAGGAGAACAGGCTCTCTAAATCAATGAGCAAGGCTCATGTGAACTCACAGACTGGGACAGCAAACACAGGGCCCGCATGGGTCTGGCCATTAGCAGAGTCTCTCAAAACAACCCTGCTGTTTTGTTTTGTTTTGTTTTTCTTTTTATGCCGAGTCAGGAAGACTCCGGTAAGCGAGCCACGTGAATCTCGGCTTGTCGATAGCAAAACAGAGCCCACCTGAGAAAATGCTGCTACCAAAAATCTGTGCTTCTCTCCATTCTTTTGTTTCTAAAATTCCTGTAAATCTTTTGTTATTTTGTGTGGAAATTCAATCCCGCTCCTGACAACCATTCTGTTAAGAGAAGCTGTCATTTATGCCTGCTAAGAGAGGGAAAAATCAGTTTTCTCCAGTGGGGTGACACTGAGTCTACAAGACTTCAGGGCAAGCTGAAGGCGGTGGTGGCACACGCCTTTAATCCCAGCACTCGGGAGGCAGAGGCAGGCAGATCTCTGTGAGTTCGAGACCAGCCTGGTCTACAAGAGCTAGTTCCAGGACAGCCTCTAAAACAATACAGAGAAAACCTGTCTCCAAAAACAAAACAAAACAAAAAAGACTTCAGGGCAGAGCAGGCATCATGTTCAGGAGAAGTTGACCAACATATAATGGACTCTACAGGTGTGTGTGTGTGTGTGTGTGTGTGTGTGTGTGTGTGTGTGTGTGTGTGTTTACAGTTTGGTGGGTTTTGTTTTGTTTTGTTTGAATAGTGTTTTACTTTGTTTCCTGGCTTGGGAGGATTTTGTTGTTGTATTGGGGTTTTTGTTTTTGTTTTTTGTTTTTAGAAAGAACTTAAAAGTGGGTGAATAGGGGCAGGGAGAGTATCTGGAAGGACTTGGGGGAAGGGAAGAATATAATCAAAATATACTTAAATGTAAAAATTTAAAATAAGAAAAATAAATAAATAAAATTTACTTTTTAGTTAGGAAGAAGAAAGTAGAGGGCTGGGGAGCCGTCTCTGTGAGTAAGAGAACTTGCTCTCCAAGCATGAGGACCTGGGTTTGCATCCTCAGCACCATGCAAAAAGACAGATGTGTGGATCTCTGTGAGCTCGAGGCTAGGTTGGTCTACAGAGCGAGTTCCAGGACAACCAGGCCTACATAGAGAAACCTGTCTTGAAAAACTATTTTAAAAAGCCAGTTGTGGTTGTGCATATCTATAACCCCAGCTCTGGGAGGCAGAGACAAATCCTGAGAGCTCTCTAGTCAACCAGCCTAAGC